GGTTAAAAATGGATCTCCAACATAATCCCTTGCCCTAGCTAATGAGTGTGTGAGATGAGAGGATGATGAATCTATTGAAGCTCATCCTTATGTTTATAGCTTTTCATTCTTTTAAGGCTATCGAAGAAGAAGTCGAGTTGTAAAGTGGTCCCCTTTTATAGACATTATGCAAGTATTACAGGTGTTGTTCCTACCGATGAAGTTCTTGTTGCCAGTAATACCGATCTTGTTGCTACCATCCTCGATGAACACCACATGTGTAACATTTTAAAAATTTTTCCTATGATTTATTAATCTAATGAAGAGTAATTAAAAATATAATTAGATTTAAGGATAGTTAGAAATGAATATTGGGTCTGGCTTTAGCCTTTAAATTGGGTTCAAAAATGAATTGGGTCATACAGGCTCAACTTGTAGAAAAAAATTGAATTTCAGCCTATAGTACATTATGCTGCAATATAAAAATTTATGTTGCTGCATAATTTCCAGAAAACAAAGAGGGGGTGATAAAGAAAGTATTTTCCTTACTAGGGTATCAACTTTTGGGTATTTTGGAGGTGATTGGAGCTTGATTTCACCTAGGTATACCTTCCTCTTATCTCTTTTTCTTTTCTTTACATATTTTGAAAGTAAGATTTGAGCTTGGGAAATAAGGATTTTCAAATTTAAGGCTATGGATCCAAATCTATTAGTCTAAATGAAACTAATGGGAATTGTTTAAATGTTCTACATATAGTTTAGAAGTTTTTACAAAGTTGTGAGCTTGGGTCATCGATTTTGGACAAACCCTAGACCTTTAAAGTGTGATTTTAAATTTTTAAATGTTATATTAGTGATTATTTAAGTTCATGAAAGGTAAATGAAGTTAATAGGAGTTAGTAAACCTAATGGTTATGCTTAACTGCAAGAGATTGAAATTTTTGATAATTAAAGTGTTGATTAATGAAAGTTGGAAGAGTATTTATGTTAATATTAATGATGATTGGTATGGTTAATTGTAAATTAATCATCTTATGCACCATTCAAGCTTTAGTATGTCTTGTGAAGTACTTTCATTGAGGAATAAACTTTTGATCTCTCAAAAGTTTGAGGTAATCAAAATAAATTTAGTTTATACATTTGTTCGTTAATTAGTTATAGCCATTTCTAATTGAATAGAAGATATGAGTATGTTTTTGAATATATGAAAGAATGTAAATTATGGCATAGCATTAATATTTAAAGATTTTGTTATGAGAAAGAATTTGATTATGTGAAATTATTTATTATGCATTGTTGAAGCATGATTTAAAGAAAATATGAATTTGGGAAGTGGTGAAATTGCGATGGGAGTGTAGGAGAATAAGAGATGTGATGAGTATAACATGTGCATGCCATATAGATAACTTGATGAATAATTGCATATATTATGTGTTAATCATAATTTCATTGCATGATCATAGAAGGTAGGGGTTTTGCCTATAAGAAGAGGAGTAGATAATGGAAATCCACGCGGTAAGGCCACCATTCAAAGCTCGATAGCTTTCCTTTTTATTTTATTATCTCACTTATTCTTTGAGAGACTGTCCCACTTGTTTATCGAGGGACTCAAACCAAACTAGTGTCAATCGATTTATGAGGAGACTAAATTAAAGGCATGACACCCCATAGTTGTTAGTATTGTGGGAAAGCATGAATCATAAGTAAGTGTAGTAGCTTTGGTCAAGTAGTTCTTCACAAGTAGAAGGCTTAGGTAGTCCAATGATAAGGACAAATCTCACTAAATAGCTACTGATTTCATATTTGAGGTATCAGAAAGGTATAAGGTTAGTGTTGATTATGAATATCATTATATAGCCACATGGTTGTTATTTTTATGGTCCTACACATTTTATAAGGGCACATAATTATTGGTGTTGTGACTCTTGCATGCTAAGTAATCTAATGTTACATGATTGTTAGTTTTATGACTATATGAATTTAATGATTTAATATGTGAATGTGTTTCATTTGAATATGCCATTTGCATCACTATAATTAGTTAACATGCATTTGTATAAGCTAGATTAACATTAATCACTAAGTGGTTGTATTCATTCCTTTCTCTTTAATATTACAGGTGCTAGCTCATCAAGACAAGACTGAGAGAAATATTCAAAGGCTTAGAATTTCTATCCCAAATTTGTAGGCCTTATTTGTTTTAGAGTTGATGTGTATAATTTATCTTAATAATGCCAACTAAAAGATTATATGTTTTTGCTTACTTACGCAATTTGATTTTTTTTTATCTAAGTTGTGCATTTTGGGCCCTAGGTTTCATGTGAATTAACTTTGAAATCTAAATAGGGCTAAAGTACTTGTACAAGTAAAGAATGAGTATATTTGTGAATGATGACGATTTAAATGTGAAATTACATGATTGAGACTCCCCCTATCATTGTTTAGAGTAAAGGGTTAAGCATTGAAAATGTGTTATACATGTTATTGGAGTGTCATGGTGTGTTGCATAAGTCTTATTGAATCTATTGAGTCTAATATAGGAGTGGTTGTGAGCTTATGACACTTGGCTGTGATTTTAGATACCCTAGTTATATTTTGAAATAAAAAATGAGTAAGTTTTCATTTTGGTGTCTAACTTTTTATCGAGAAATGATTTGAATATGAAATAGTTCCATTTGCTAGGGCTCGAAAAAAGCTTTCTATAGACACCTAAATCATCTCAATTAGACGTCGGATGAAGAAATAGGGTGTATCAAAAGTTTCGCTAAAAAATCTGCCATGTGCTGTCATAGGTTTTGCATGTTATGTCGTAACATGGGCATATTGTGTCATTTATGTAAATTTTACAAACTTAGTAATTTACCTTACATGATATCCTTGCTTCCGTATACAAGTTTTACTATGATTTTAGTTTATGAAATGATTTTATAGCATTTTAAGTTTTAAAAATTTGGAATCTTATTTATGTAAATTTTACAAACTTAGTAATTTAATTGGATTAATCTTGTGATTACCTCAATTTTAAAGTTAATTGTGGATTAGTAAGGGAAACTTTACAATATGGATGTTTTAGATGAGTTACAGAGAAAGGGGAAGAGAGAAAAGAGGGGAAAGAAGAGGGAGATGTAGATGAGAAGGAGAGGGAGGGGACAGATCGAGTTGAAGAGAAAGGAGGAGAGAGAGACAAGAAGGAAAGGGAGGGGACAAATCGAGTTGCAAAAAGACTAAGAGAGAGAAGGAGAGGGAGAAAGAGACGAAAAGGAGAGGAAGGGGACATGTTGAGTTGCAGGGAGGGGAGAATTTTAAAAATAATAATGTAGGGCCCACAAGCAATATTTTATAATCAAAATACTAAAAAATTATATATGGGTCTTACATAACATAGCTATTAGGTAAGTTAACATCGAAGTGTTGGGAGAGGTAATCTTTTATGTTGAGGGCCAAAAATGACCCCAAGTTAAGTTTAGAGGCGCCAATGATCTTTCATGTACAGTTAAAAGGCACAATTAACCCTGAACCCTATAATATAACATGATAATCTTTGTGAGGTAACAAAAATAATAAGGGAGAATAGAATTTATCATAATAAGGGTCCATCAATTTAATTTGCATCAAATATTTTCTTGTGAAGGTACGTATGTGTTGTTATTATTAAAGCTGAATCTTAACTTGTTAAATTTTTAAGACAACCCCAACAAAAAATATAAGTTAAAGTTCAACTTTTAATAACAATATATACGTGTTTTTATAAGATAATATCTAATGCAAAATTGATATGTCCTTATTATTATAAATTTTTTTGAAAAGACCTTAAATGTCATTCTCCCAAATAATAATGATATTGGATTGCTCGGCAAAAAATGAAAATTTACAAGGTTCATTTCAAATGTTAAGAGGTTATGAGAAGCAATTAATCAATGTTCAAAGAACCTATATACTATTTTCATCTCAAATTATAAAATATTTTTGGAAAACAATTGGCATCCCAAAATATAAGATTATGATAAAAATAAGATTTTATTAATAATACTTTTTTCATATATTTTTTTAATAGTATTTCACAATTGAAGTATTAAATGAAGAATATCTTTTAAAATTTATATTTTTATCTTTAAAAAAAAGGGTCATAAAGTATATTTAATAAGTTTTCTTAATATAAATAATTTTATTTAAAAATATTTTATAACTTAAAATGAAGAGAGTTTGCCGGTAGACAATTAAAATTTTTAAACATGATTGGTTGAAAGTCTTTTCAAACTTTACTCATCTCACCGTCACGTGTTTCTTCTTCTTCTTCTTCCAGCAGCACCGTCATGTGTTTCTTATTACTACTCAATTTAATGGGCATTATAGTTGACAAATTTTTAAGTTTCTAATTAAGGAATAGCTAGCCAGTGTCAAGTTAATCCTCTTTCCCTTCTATATTACATCACCCAACTGAAGTTACAACATTGCTTTTCACAACTACTGAACTATAGTCAACATATATATATGGGCTGCATTAGATCTGACTCGTACACGTGACAAGTACACATAATTGGATCTGCTCGCATGAACATTAATCGAAGATTAAATTAATTAAAGTGACATGGTCATATATAGAGATTTGTTTCTTATGATCCCTCTTTTGATGTTCATACTTGTTTCTTTCCCACCTGTTGATGGCATTCATTTTCTTCAAAAAGACAGTCTACGTGAATCAGTATAACCAGTACTTGTATTTGTACCGTGCCTCCCGAGGCATTTTGTTTCAGGAAAGAAAAACCAACATACATGAGGCATTAAGTCCCGTAGAAAAGTTACAAAATAAATTTAAAAAAAATAAACATGCTAGTAAACCTCAGAAACGAAAAGCAACCTGATTTTTTAAAAGCTAAATGTCCCAGCTGAATTAGATTGAAAAGAGTTTAAACCCTATAGCTTTTATGTTTGAATCTCACCGAAAAAGGTACCCATATTTAGTGCCCCAATTGCTTCTAAAAGAAGTACACGCGTGAATCAAAAGAGAGAGAAATGTAGGAGACAACAAATATTGCTTTCAGCAACTACGTGAACATAAATCAAACAAATCCTTCCATAGTAGCCATTACAAAATTTCAATCTTCTCTAAACCATAGGAAAGACTTGTACACGTTATTCCAACAAAAACATAGCCTCATTAAAAGGCAACTAACTCAAACCTTCCTGCCTATTTCACCATCCAAAATTCCATGCCTAGTTAAAACAATCTCCTTAACAAGATTCCTGTACGTAAATGGTCTAACGGCTGCTCGCAAAAACAACTCTGGAGGAAGCTTGCTCTTCTTGACCTTTTTCCTCCATGGACCAATCCCAGCATACTTCCACTCTTCCGGACTAACCTTCGCCCACTTGCCTCTCAAGGCAGTTTCATCTCTATCTGATGAATGCTTTTGTTCTTCCTCACCCTCTTCCGTCATTGAGTGTTTATTGTATAACTTTGAGGTGAACTCTACACTCTCCTTTGCTAGCTTTTCCATAGCTTCTGCACTGCCAAGGGCTTTTCGAAGCTTCTCTTCCCAACTCATCCCATCATCTTCTGTAAATGTATCTTCCTCACTGTCTCCATTTTCTTCCATGTCCATAACTAGATCTTGGTCATCATCGCCACCTTCACCATAATCCTCCTCCTCATCTTCGTCATTTTCAGTAATGCCTTCACCGCCAACACCACCTTCATCATCCTCAATCCAATCTAAGATCTCAGTTTCACCAGAATCATCAACACTAGGATCATCACCATCATCATCAGGAGCATCACAACCCAGCTCCATCTCCTCCAGCTTAGCTTTCCACTCCTTTGTGTATGGATGTAAAAGTAAAACTGGATGATTCTTCAATAAAAATTCTAAACATTTTGACTTTTTCTCCTCAGTCAATTTCTGATATGCATTGACCACATCGTCAACAAATGCTTTTTGGTTCACCTTCACAATCTTACACAACCCACCAAAATAAGTACACAATTCAACAGTCCCATCATCATTTTCTAACTCAAAAAGATAATCATGTTCTGTACTGGGATCGAGAAATGGAATAAGTGCGTTGAAAAAGTTATCCTGTGGCTCAAACCTACATTGATACACCGGCCGCTTTACATATATTATATCAGGTCTCATCCATGCTGCACATTGTGTTATCAAAGATCTTGCCTTGTTCCCAAGTCTACCCATCAAACTCCACTTATCCAACCTCTGCTTACCAGCTTCAAGGACTACCTCACTAACCAACGTCCATTGCTGCCAAGGCAACTCAGAAAGTCTCCACTTCGGGTGCCTCACGAATACCCAAAAATACCTGAATCCTTTGCTTTTGTCCATTTGCTTCAATCTTTTCCCAAATTCTGAAGCCATTTCAAATTGCTCAATTTTCTCCCATTCCTCATGATCCTTAACTTCATTTATTATTGTCACACGCTCATCAGTAAATCTACCACGAACTGGGTCACCTAGAACAACTCCTCGCCATGAATAAGGTCCAAATTGGCCATATTTATACCAATCATATGGGTGGCGCAAATTTGGATCATCCTTGTCCATGAATCTGACAAACCGATCATAACCAAGACCAATTTGTTGGAGCTCATCCTCAGAGAAGTTATCAGGATAGTTCCCATTTGGATTTTTCAAGCGGTAGAAAAAGGACTCGGCATATTTCTTAGCTCTCTGCCTAGGTTTGCGCCTCAACTGACGGAGGAAATCAGCTTTGCCTTCTGTGCGCCCAGTTGAGGAACCACGGGACTTCTTCCGACCTGCAAAGGACCGAATGTCTCGCTTGCACGCATTATTTTGAGCAGAATATAGAGGGTTTTGACTAACAGTTGACAATATAGAAATTGGTACAGGGTTTTGGGAAAATGAGACAACTACAAAATGTTTTGGCGTTTGGAATTTCAGGTTTGGGGCGTTGCAGAAAGGGTCTGAGAATGGTCTCAAAAAGGAAAGTTGGCGGCTAGCCAAGGATGGGCGAAGGGGTGGTCTAGGTAAAAGCTCGCATCTTATATGACCGAGATCCATCTCAAAAACCAGTCCTCAGCATCCGCTGTCAAACTAATCAACCTTCAAAACAATATCAAACATAATTTTCAAACAAGGTTTCAATCCAAAAACAATATGCATCAAATTGTCTGATTAAAAACCCATTAAAAGAACAAACAGAAGATCGAATTTCAAGTTCGGGATGGCAAAGGGAAAAATTCAAGCAAGTCTTTCACTATCCATCCTTCTATGTGCGCCTATAGCTTGCCCCATTCCTCTATGTTTTTCTCACCTTCCCGGTGTCCAATCCTGCAGAGAGATTGTTCTGCTTATACCCACCCCGTTCCAAAAACAAGAAAGTGATATGTAGTTCTTGGAAAGTGGGGGGGGGGTCAAGGACAAGATGAGCAACAGAAAATAAGGTAGCTCCAAATTTCATTTAGTTTAGCAGAAACAATTGAAGAACTCGGGGATAAGCTGCATGAAAATACATTAAAAAAATGCAACTTACAATACATTCATGGTACCAACAAAGTTCCTGTTTGCAGAGTTCGAAAACGGACAGCAGAGAGGAGAGAATAGAGCAGCAAATGAAAAATGGGGCATCTAAAAGAGCAGCACATTTGAAAGTTTGCAGCCATTCTTTTGAATGATAGTTGCTGATGATTGCTTTTAAAAAAGGGGGAAAACAAAGAGGTGAAAAAGAGCAGCAAGTTGAAAAATCACAATCAGCAATAAAAATAAAAGGAAGAGATGATAGATGAACGGACCTTGTTAGGTCACGACTTAGATGGTGGAATCGGAGGACGAGTTCAGACGGTAAGCTGCTGAGAGAACGACGGAGGAAGAAACCGAACGCCACTTTGGTGATAGGCTGATAGCAGATATTTTATCCTCGAGTCAAAAAGTAATAACTAAAAACAACTACGGCGAATTGCACTAAGAACCTGAAAAAGTAAAATATTTATATTTTAGACTTAAAAAATTTTAATAATGTACAACAAGCTCAAATACTTTTGTTGCAATTTTTTAAAAAAGTAAAAATATAATTTTGTTCCTGTATAATTTGAAAATACATAACCTACATAAAACCCTTATTCACAAAGCAACAGCCTCTTCTCTATCTCTTCTTTCTTTTTCTTCGGTCATCGCTTACAGTTTCTTCTTACCATATCAAATTTAGCAACTAATTTTAAATTTGTTGCATCAGTTACCTTCCTCATATATCCTTGGCTCAATGATTCTACCATTCTAAATCTTCATTTTCATATTGAACCTACTGTAGGTAATCTCTCTCTCCATCACTCTTCTCGTGTATACTCTTGGCTTTAGATTGTGATTGATTTGTTTGGCTCTGGTTTCTCATATCTATTTGCACCATCCCTTTACTTTGTTTGACTGGTAATCATTGACATCCATAATGTTTCTGTTGGTCGCTTTGATTTGCCTTTACTTCTGTTGGTCCTTAATACAGTGTTAGCTTTTATAATCTCGGTGACCTATTGAAAATGAAACTGCAACCTCCCAACCCTCATAAAGAAAATGATATACTTGTTTGGAGATCTTCTTTTGATGGCAATTTCTCCATCAAATCTGCTTATAAAGCTATTAAAAACTGTGATAGAAATATCAATTCCAGAATTTGATCTACAATCTGGAAATAATTTACTTATAAAAAATTCAAATTCTTCCTCTGAAAAGCTACTTGGGATCGTCTCCACACCAAATTTGTCAATTTGAGAAATGCGAATCCTGCCATAAGAAATTATCCTTTTAGTTGTAACTCCCTTGACTCTTCCATTCAAATTTTATGTGATTACACTAAAACAAGGCAAGTTAGGATGAAATTAGTAAAACCTTGTAAACTTAACACTTTCTTTTTCTTTTCTTTACATGATTGGATACTCTATAATGCAAAGAATAATGTTGGAGGCCCAAATACTAGAAGAACTCCTTGAAAAAACTCTTTACTCACATATGTTAGAACATTTTGAAAGACCACTACTCTTATATATATTCTAAAGAACATATTCCTGACAAAGACATCATCTTCTTCAGCACACAAAACATCAACAATGACCACTATCTTCAAGCTCAACTTAGAAATGTGCATTCAAACCATGACAAATCTCTTACTAGATGGATTCCACCCAAATGTGGTCAGGTAAGGTTGGATGTTGATGGTTCTATCTACACCAATAGAGCTGAAACCTGTGGTGGCCTTATCCGAGATTACTAAAGCAACTAGATAAAAAGATTTACCAAATACCTTGGTTATCTTCCCAGCACTGCTGCTAAGCTCTTGGCCATCCTTAAAGGTCTTTCTCTTTGTTGGGTTTGCAAATTCACCTACGTCAATGTTTACTCTGACTTCCTTGAAGCTTTGTCGCTTATTTAGCACTATCACAACTCGGACCATCCCTTCAATAAAACTATAATTGGCACAGAAACTGAATGAACAACAAGCAATTCTCATTCTCTCAAGTCTGCCTCTTTCACAAGTCTCAAGGTCCTATTTATAGTCCTAGAATTCGTGAAACTGAACCATACAAATTTAAAGGGGAGTTACAGAAGTTAAGGGGCGGTTACAAAGAGTTTATGATGCTCATTATGTGTGCCTTCCGTTTTAGCTCGTTTCTTGCTCTTTCTATTTCATTCTGCTCTTTCCGTTTCATCCTCCTCGGGTTGGGAAGAACTCGCCCTCGAGTCAAATTCATCATCTTCATCAACGTATGGAGATAAATCAGCGACATTGAAGGTTGCAGATACACCATAAGAACCAGGTAATTCCACCTTGTAAGCATTGTTGTTGATCCTTTGCACTATCTTGAATGGACCATCAGCTCTTGGAGACAACTTGGTGTTTGGCTGTTTAGGAAATCGTTCCTTTCATAGATGTATCCAAACCAAATCTCCTACCTTAAAAGTATGCTGTCTTCGATGCTTGTCACGTTGAGCTTTGTATCTCAAATTCTGCTTTTGGATTCGCTCGCAGACTTGCTCATGCAACTTCTTAATTTCCTTAGCCCTTTGGTCAGCATCAAAGCTGTATTGCTGCTTATCAATTGAAGGGCTCAAGTCTAGTGGACTAAGGGGACGAGTGCCATAAACAACTTCAAATGGACACTTCCCAGTTGCTTGATTGACAGAGTTATTATAAGCAAACTCAACTTGAGCAAGAATAAGATCCCACTGCTTCAAATTCTTCCCTACGAAACTACGAAGAAGATTACCAAGAATTCTATTTATAGCTTCAGTTTGACCATTTGTCTGGGGATGACTAGCGCTGCTAAATTGGAGCTTAGTTCCCATCTTCTTCCATAGCGTCCTCCAAAAGTGGCTAAGAAACTTCACATCACGGTCAGAAGTGATAGTTTTAGGAACGCCATGAAGACGCACAATCTCCTTAAAGTACAAGTCTGCTACTTGAACAGCATCATTTGTCTTCTAGCATGGGATAAAATGGGCCATTTTTGAGAAACGATCCACAACTACCATGATAAAATCTTTTTGCCTTTGAGTCCGTGGTAAACCTAGAACAAAATCCATGGTTACATCTTCCCACGGTGCTTCTGGAATTGGCAGAGGCATGTATAATCCGGTATTCTGACCCTTAGATTTAGCCAAGTGACAAATTTTACATCTTTGTATATGCCTGTTGACATCCCATTCAAGACGAGGCCAGTAAAAGTTCTCCTTCACCAGATCAACTGTTTTATCCCTTCCAAAATGTCCAGCTAATCTACCGTCATGTGCTTCCCAAATTATGGCTTCTCTTAAAGAACCCTGTGGAATACAAAGGGTTTTACCTCGAAATAAAAAACCATCATGCCTGTAAAACTGGTGGAAAGGTTGATTTACGGTTGCTTCCCACACTCCTTGGAAATCAGGATCATCCTGATATAACTCTTTGATAAGGTCAAATCCAACAACCTTGGTTTGCAATGTTATAAGTAGCACATGGCGACAACTAAGGACATCAGCTACGGAGTTCAGAGTTCCAGCCTTATGTTTGATAAGGAATGGATAAGATTGTAAGAGTTGACTCCAACGAGCATGTCTGCGGCTGATCTTCTGCTGGGAATTCAAATACTTGAGAGCCTCATGATCCGAAAAAAGTATGAACTCTTTATTTAGGAGATAATGACTCCAATATTGAAGAACTCGGACAATGGCATAAAATTCCTTGTCATAGGTAGAATATCTGAGCTTGGCATCATTGAGCTTCTCACTAAAAAAGGCAATGGGATGGCCCTCCTGGCTTAAGACAGCACCAATGTCGGTGTTAGAATCATCACAGCTAACTTCAAATACTTTGTCAAAATTAGGAAGAGCTAGGACTGGAACTTCGGTCAACTTCTTCTTAAGCTCCTCAAAGCTTTTCTGAGCTTGCTCTGTCCACTGAAACTTCTCTCCTTTGGTGAAGTCTGTAAGTGGTGCGGTAATTGAGCTAAAATTACGGATGAACCTCCTGTAGAAAGAAGCTAATCCGTGGAAGCTTCGAACCTCCTGGATAGATTTTGGAATTGGCCAGCTGTCAATGGCTGCAACTTTGCTTGGATCAACGCGAACACCTTCCGCGGTAATGATGTAACCCAAGAACACAACTTCGTTGGTGAGGAAGGTGCACTTCTTGAGATTTGCATAAAGCTTCTGCTCACGCAAGGCTTGCAAAACTTACCGCAAGTGATCTAAATGCTCCTCTTGATTCTTACTGTAAATAAGAATATCGTCAAAGTACACAACAACAAATTTACCAATGAAGGGTCTCAATACCTGATTCATCAGGCGCATAAATGTGCTAGGGGCATTTGTTAATCCAAAAGGCATCACATTCCACTCGTACAAGCCATCTCTGGTCTTGAAAGCAGTCTTCCACTCATCTCCTGGCCGAATTCTGATTTGATGGTACCCACTACGAAGGTCAATTTTGGAGAAAGTAGTGGCACCATGCAATTGGTCCAGCATATCATTAAGCCGAGGTATCGGAAACCGATACTTAATAGTGATCTTGTTGACGGCTCGACAGTCAATGCACATTCTCCAACTTCCATCCTTCTTAGGTACTAGAAGAACAGGTACAGCACAAAGGCTGATACTTTCTCGAACTAATCCTTTCTTCAATAACTCTTCAACTTGCCGTTGGACTTTGGCATGTTCCTGGGAACTCATCCTATAAGCAGGCTTATTAGGAATGACTGCTCCTGGAACGAAGTCAATGGCATGCTGTATGTCTCGCATTGGAGGCAACCCTGGTGGTATCTCATCGGATATTACATCTGAAAATTCTGACAATAACGGAATGACTCCAGGTGGATTGGCCGTCTCATCGTTCACCTCAAGCACCAGAATAATGCTCATCATTTGGGCTTCGAATTTTGACACCTTGAATTCCTCCTTAGTTAACAAAGACACTAACGACTTAGAAACACTAGATTCCCTTGAAGATTGGCTAATCTCATTGGGTGGTAGAGGCGTTAGTGTAAACTTGACACCATCTTTCGTAAAAGAATAAGTATTCGCTCGCCCGTTATGCATAGCATGTTGGTCATATTGCCATGGCCTCCCCAAGAGAAGGTGGCATGCATCCATGGGAACAACATCACATAAAACTTCATCACAATATCGATTCCCAATAGAAAAGGTCACAAGGCATTGTTTAGAAACTTTTACCTCATTCCCTTTGTTGAGCCAGTGAAGCTTTTAAGGTTGTGGATGATCTTGTG